TGCTCAAATATTTAGTTGGCAATAAAACGATTTTATGGCCGAAATAAATAGCAAGCCAGCGATTGTCCGTCAAGCGGAAAACGGAAGCAAAGTGCAACTGACAAAATACGAGCAATTAGAAGTATTTAAATCACATAGATAAAACAATGGAAATAAAATGCCTGGGTTTATAATCCGATGGTAAGTCTTTAAGCGTTTCACAAATGAACTGCAGCATATTAAGCGGTATCATTGCCAATAATGAATGTAAAAAGCCATAAAGGAATTAACAAATAAAGTAATAATAAGATTGTAGAATAAGTAGGTACGCAAAACATCAAAAAGATACGAGTACACAGTTTAATTAGAAACGAGACCAGAGGGTCTGCAAATGAAGTTTTTCATTGCCAATTTATTCATGACTTTCCCTAATTAACTTTTACGCATTCGGACTAGACTGAAAAGCGATATTAGCTCCAAGGCTCCAAGGCTCCGTGGCTCCAAGGCTTCAAGGCTTCAAGGCTGGGGCATATGTACCTGCACCTGCTGCCAACTGAAATTGTGCGTAATTCAATTGCTCAGAGCCCCGGATTCAACTGACCAGAAGCACTAAAAGCTGCCTGCCTGCCTGCACAAATATAATTAAAATGCCCTGCAACTGGAGGGGAATTGTATAAAAACGTAGAAATAAATAAGCGCAGCACGGGACTGGAACTTGTCATTTAATGTGGCCCGTCAAAGGAAAAGGATCTAAGGCAAGCTGATGAGGGAAAAAGTAAATTGAAGATGTAAGTGGGGCAGCGGATTCTTATTTTGACCTAAGCCCTCGTAATTTAAAAGCTACGAATTTTTTGGCTCACTTGAAAGCTGTTCAATTTCTCGCACTCCAAGCGCCGGCTTTTCTCGCATTTTTCCGGTATTGCCAAATGCATTTTCCCACCCCTCTTCCCGCCCCGTTTCCCTTTCTTGGCCACTGTTGCAGTTCCTTGTTGCCAATTTCAAATACACGAATGTTGTGTTATTTCCGTCAAAAGAGTAATTAAACGTACAAAGCAAACGACATTTCAACACATTCAAGGGACGGCGAGCGGAAAGCTGTAGACAAAGGCGAGGGTCGCTTGAAAAGGTTTCCAATTTTAAAATTAATTATGAGCATAACTATATAGAATAGCAGCCAGAAGGTTCAAACTCATGAATTATTCAGAAATGTACTCAATTATCTTGCAGTTATCCATAATGGCTACTGCTGGGACTAAAAGCCGACTTTAATACATTTTAATGCGATCTCTTCGATCCGCCTTCGCTGTGGCATCCAGTCGTTTGTCCATTTGGCTTTTCTCTGGCTTCTTAGGGCCGGCGGTCATTGCGGCTCAGTCCGGCACTCTGTGGCCTTCATGCCGGCAGAAGACAGCCAAAGAGGTCCTGTCAAGGGGATAAGGGGGTGTGGAGGGGAGGGCAGCGGACAGGACGCAGGATGCAGGATGCAGGAGAGCGTTGTCAGTAACCTGTGAGCAAAACATTGTAAATAAAATGCAGCTGGATTGCGGAAGGGGAGGCTGTGGAGTTCTGTGTCTGGCTTGCTGACCTGCGGCGCTTTTGTGTTAATTGCGGTTGCATTTAATTACAGTTCGTTGCAACTGGCCAGCTTTCCCGGCTGCATTTCGCTTTCCCCCCACCCATGTGCCCCGCACCAAGTCACGCTAAGCTTTTAATTAAAATTAAAAATATTTGGTCTACTTTGGCAGCATGATTTCGGCATTTGTTTGGCTATGCAGGCCATAAACCAACATTGTCTACAGCCAATTGCTATAAATCATGTTGCCACACCATCAAATGTAAATTAATGCCGAGTTTATTGAACCACATCGAGTGCGCAGTTTACTTGTACACCGCAATGATGTCCACAATGCTCACATAGGTGCCCACAACTCCGCCGAAGATGCTAAAGCCCAGAAGCAGCAGATTGATGATCAATTTTATCCGGAATGGTCCATAGCCCTCGGTGTACTGGACGCAGATCTGGAGTAGAACGGGGAAGATGAGGCCCAGGATCGACAGGCAAAAGGAGCCCACCAGGGACAGGAAGACCGATAGATCCGGAATGGCAACGGCGCAGGCAACTGAAAGTATGTCAGAAACTCATTAGTGGGTGCATTTTATTCGAATTTTCCGTCGCCTACAAGTGAGCAGCACAATTATGGACCTGAAGAGCAGTTCGTACAACGTCCTCCTGGTTTCCTTGAAGCGCCTGGCCAGGTATTTATCCCACAGGATATGGGCAGTCACATAGCCCTGCAAGGCATATGAGATCCAGGTAGTGATGGCGAAGAACACCTTTACCACCTGCGCGGGTCTGAAGAGGGGTCTCAAAATAAGTGGGTAACGTAAAAACAGCATTAGAAACTCACATTTCGGACTGCGGAATATTCAGTGTAATACTGCCCTCCGACTCATCGCCGTATTTCCAGTAGCCAAAGAAGCCGAGCAGAATATACAAGCCCAGCACTATGGACATGCCGCTGTTCAAAATGCCACAGGGGCCCACAAAGGATTTTGGCGTGGCCATATTCTCCTCGATTGCCAGAATCTTGTTAAGCAAGGGAATTGCTTAAATTGCATTACTTATGATAACTCAAAAGAAGTTGAGACATACCACGCCCACTGCTTCCAGTGCAAAGAGTACTGTGCCAAAGAAGGTGGGCAACTTTCCGGCGGACACAAAAGGATCTCGTTCACTCAGCGGAGGTAGCTCCTCAAATATATAGTACAGAATGATGCAAAAACCTAGTTAGAAAGTAAAAGGGTAATTAGGTATCTTCCTTGTGGCAGGAAAAGCCAATTCGAAAAGAAACTCACCCACAAGAAGCAGAAGATTCGCCGCACTGGAAAAGGGCGCCAGTAGCTTTAAATTCTTGATGCTATAGATCAGCATGAGTGGCACAATTATGATGCACATGTGTAGTCGCACATCCCAGACCACCAGATACTCATCCACCAGCTGCTTTATGCTCTCCGCTATGAAAACCACATAGACGCAGCAGATGCCGAAGTGGTAAAAGGCCAGGAAGCCATCTACAAAGGGACTGAGGGAGATGCATTTAATAAGATGCATTTCACTTAAGTAAAATATATTGTACTTCAAGGAAGTGTGTCTTAGAACCACGTGGAAGAATAACACTTATTAAGATGTATTTAACTTAAGTAAAATATATTGTACTTCAAGTAAGTGTGTCACAGAACCACGTGGAAATAGGTACATTTCAATACTTGTATATAGATTAGGTACTCAAAACATTGCTTCCGCAACTCAAACATGCAATTGAATAAAGAAGCCTCTTCAGCTGCTATTGATAACTGATATTCTATGAAAACCAATTACTATTAGAATGTGCCTCCCTTTTTTAGGTTGCATTATACTTGTCATTAAAGATAGAGATACAATAAATCGTAGTGAAAATCTATTGATAAACAACAAGATAACAATTTAATTACCCAATAGCTCAATCATTAAAAGCCCTAAGAAAGTTAATCAATAAATAAAAGAGTGTGCAGATAGCAGTTGTTTCCCTGGGTTACTGCACTTACACGGCAATGGGTGCCAGGCATCGCAGCCAGGGTGGACCTTGTTTGAGTCCCAGATTCATGGCCTGCGAGAAGCTGACGTAGGGAACCCGCTGCCGCTTGCACAAGATGTACATGCATTTGATCTGGAAATCAAAAATTAATTAGTTTATTAGGTGGTTGTTGTGACCCAAGCCAAACCCACCAAAATGTGCAGGCAGTACAGGGCCAGCGAGCCAATGATCAGCGTGAGAATGGTGCCGTTCACATAACCCGCATGTGCGAAGGCACTGGGCATGGCCAGGACTCCAGTGCCCACGGAGGCCTTCAGGAAGTGGGCAAAGGTCTGAAAGTTGCTGGGGGAGAACAGGCCAGAAAATGATTCCTTGGGCTGCGCACAGTGGAGAAAGTATGCTTACGTAGTGGGATTCTTGAGTTCGCGGTGCTGGTGAGGATCGTAATCATCGTTACTGCCATTCGCTGGCTTTGCTGGGGTCGTTAATTCCAATGTTGTGGGGTAAACCGTCACGGTTTTTATATTGTCGCTGTTGGGGGAGCAATTAAATGTTGTTTTTGAGGTGAATTGATTGATTGATAAATGGGCATGCGTCGTAAAACAATAAGCCCCAAGGAGGTTCCTCGAGAAATAGGTGTCGGTTCAAGAATAAAGGTCGTAAAAATATATTATTTCTTGAACGGGCTTTCGTTGGCGCTAATGACAAACCATTTATAATGTTTGCGCATCAGCTAGCTTATTTTTTTACGGTCCTGGAAGCAAAATAATACGAAGACGACTCACTTCATTGCGATAAAGTAGCAAACGAGTATTTGATAAAGCTACTAGAGCTCGCGGGCGTATAAATCTTTTATCACACGTAATTAAGTCGCCAAAGAGACAAAGATCTTTTTGCGATTGCGAATTCCTGGTCTAACCAGATTTCTTGGGGAACCAACCGACTGCCTGGCCCACCGGACGGATACTAGATTTCGGATCCCGGTCGAAGCCGCTCAACACCTCTCGTTCGTAAAACGTGCTGATAATCTTGATAAAGATAATTGTACTATAATCAGCCGTATCTGAAGCCTTTACGGGAAACCTGGGAAACCGGAGTGCAGCAATCCGAAATGTATGCCCAAAAATATTGTGTGCACTTTTAAGTGCACACAATAAAACCCGAATGAGGGCCCTAACCAGTTTGCTGATCGGCTTGAACCCCCCGTAAAGTTCATCAGCAATCATAAATTTATTTACTAATATATTATAGCAAAAGCTACAATACCGCACCGCGTCCAACATTTATAGTTAGCCAATACTCCCACACAAAATATACATTTTACCTTACATCGACGACGGCCTGAAAGCTTTCGGATTTTTAAGACATCAGGGCGGATGAGTGATCTACAAGTGCTATGTATATCTTTTGATATACTTTTTAGTTTACAAAGTAACCCATGAAAATGACATCTACCGTTTTGAGCAACAGTAAACTTGAAAAACAAAAATCTATAAAAGAAAGTGCTCCCAAAAATGGTGAGGTATCCGCTTCGAGCATTTATACAGCCTGCAATTCTGCGCCGCTTGTGTGATAAGCCCAAGCTGAGCAACAAGCCCTCGAACACCCCTCGCCCACCAAAGGATCCGCCGGATGAGGGCTACCAGCCGACCAGTGTCGACCACGATGGCATAGACGTGGCCCCGTTTGTGAGACCCTCTTCCTTCCGCCAGTTCAGTGGACCCGACGAGAAGCTGGGACCAGGAGCAGGCAAAGCCCTGCCCTACAAGAACTCCTGCTACTTCGGCTATCATCGGTTCTCGTTTATGGAACTCATGAGCACGGCTGTGGAGCTGCGCGACGAACGTCGACTGGACGGAGGACTCCAGGCATCCATTGAGGCCGACGAAGAATCCGAGAGTGGCGATAACCAACTGGAGACCATGAAGAAACTGGAAGGCGAGTGCGATGCGATACTGGCCAACCAGGCCAAGCAAGCCGAGAAGGCCAAGGAGAAGTGTCTGCAGGACATGAGCGAGGAGGAGCTGAAGGAGTGGTGCAAGCAAAAGGAGGAGGACATCAAGAAGAAGGAACAGGAAAAGAAAGATGCCAAGTGCTCGCCCAAGGAGAAGAATATCCAGGACATGAGCGAGGAGGAGCTGAAAGTGTGGTGTCAGAAAAAGGAAGAGGACATCAAGAAGAAGGAACAACTAAAAAAGGACGCGGAAGCGAAGGACTGTAAGGAGAAACAAAATACTGAAGCTGCTGAAAAGACCAAGTGTGAATCCGATGAAAACAAAAAGGATTAGAAAGGATTAGTGATCTTTGGAAAATTTACAATATTAACAAAAAATGCACGAGACAATTGAAGCAAAATAAATGAATTGTAATTTGAATCATGCTTGATGCCAGTATTTTTAGAGCTTTTTGCTGAGCTTTCGAAAAGCTTTTTTCGAAAACTGGTATATAAAGGCGGCATATGAGCGGTCACACTATCTGAACTTCTCTCCCATCGAATCGGATTCAGTTGTTCGGTGTGCGTGTGTGGAAAGAGTTTGAATCCAGCGAGAGATGCGTGAAAATCCAATATCGAAAATACGTATTTTGAGTCACTATACCGAGTGGCTATGCAAATTTAGTTGCGGATCACCCAAAGCATCGAAAAGCCAACAGGTCGCCCTCCGACCAAAATAAACACATAATAATCGGGCAGCAACTGAAACGGGCAACTGGGGAACCGCTTAACCGGTTTCGAAATATCCATCGTATAGTTTTCTCGCCTATATAATATTCAAATTGCAGTGGATCGAAATATAAACACTCGCACTTGCATATAAATTCGCAGATATATGTCGTTTGTGTGAGTTTTTGTTTGTGGTTCGCGTGAAAAAATAGTGTTGCCCGAGGAGATCAAACAATTAAAAACAAAGCCAGACGCCGACCAAGAAAATAAACCATATAAGACAGCCATGGGATATTCCATTAAGGTAAGTGCCAAAGGCGGCGAGAAACAATCGGGAAAAAGAGAAAAGGGCGCTGCGATCTGTAAACCAGTTTTCGGACTTGTACCCATCTTGGTTAGTCGGAAAACAAATAAATGTACGGAAAAAGCGTCGGGATCAGTGGGATTTTTCGGTTCTTGTCGGGCTTGTAATTAGGGTGCCATAAAATGCCGGGTCTAACTAAAGCATATCGCAATCTCAGTTAATTACACCACAGCACTAAGCCAACTGTGACTCCACTAAGCCGGAAAAAGAACGCCATAAGCAAAATACAGTGTAGATTATCTAGTCACATTGATTAACTGGCCTTGTTTTTGTGTTCATATCGCTTATCTGTCATTACAGTCTTTTGTCGAAAGGGCTGACCAAAAAATCGGTTGCCATTAGGCCACTTTGCCTATGATATTCGTCATCAAAACGGGAGAGAACCGACCCTTTTCTATATAAGGTGTCATTCAACCTGCGGTTTAATAGGTATTATTATAAGATTATGAACTTCTCAAGCGACTTGGGAACGAAATAAGTATTAGTCAGGCTCAACTAACAATTTACTTATCAAGTTTGCAATTATAAGGTGTTCTGTTTATTTCATTTTGCATTTCGATAAGGGTTTTGAGTTTCAAATAATCTTAACTCAAGTGGGAGTAGCCAACTTATCATCCCAACCCATCAAAAGTATAGAATATTCTCCAAGTAGTTGTTGAGTTTTTTGCCTTGCAAGTAGTGTTGGTAGTACTTTTCCCAGAAATTGCTTTAAAAAATGAGCAGATAACTATCTAGTTTTGAAGACTTTAATTTGCTTTTAAGTATAAGGTAATTAAATGTGTTGTATGCATATTAGATATAGTAATCGTACTGAAATTGACAGATATTGTGTGTGTAATTGCCTTCGTGATCTTGGGAACATAATGCCCACTAGTTGTCAAGCTAAAGTTAGACTAAATGCACAGTTTTATACAAACTAGCTTCGATACTCCTCGATAACTCAATTTATTCGATCGCCATCCGAGATCTGGGAGATCGTCAATTTGTATTATATTTGTTCTGATCAAATCACATTTGACACGCAAGCCAGTCAGTGCTTATGCAACTCAAGGTATTAGTGTCACAATGGCAAACACAAAGGGCTGCGGAATTGAGTGAAAAAGCCTGTAATTGCATGAGCAATTTACAATTTTCTGCCGTTCATAAGCTTTAATTGCACCTTAACAGACTGAAGGGGAGAAGTAGCCTCCCATTTCCCCGTCATATTTTATAGTAACGATAAGGCGGCGTCTGTCGATCAGCCCGACTTCCAACGCAACTGATAAGTACTACTTGATTTCTGGCTCTGTTTGCCCTCGTGGATTTTGGGGGCCTAGAGTTAGTACCAAAGTTGCCATGTTGGTGGTAAGAAGTCGGGTGGGTAATCTCAGGTTCATTATTCATACGCCCTGGTGTTCCATCTGCCGATCTTATCAGAAAAGCTGTACGTGATTCTATTTTCGGGATATATAAACACATTTCCACTGGCGTTCTGCTACCTTTTCTTCGCCCCACGATAACATTTCGTAAACAATATGGGGAAGAGAGCCTAAGAGAAACGTTCTCTTAAATCTGGTGTACAGATATTTGTGATACCCACAAGAAAACTAGACAAAAGCCTTTAAAAGATGTTTAGTTGCGCTTCATAAATCTGACTTGCAAATTCCACCAGGCTGGCCCCATAAATTACCAACAAAGCCTCGATCACGCGATTCTCGAGTGCCGCACAGCTCTCTTGCGCTCTCTTTCGCTCTCTTAGACTGCTCTCTTAACGTTTCCATTTAATACCCTGCAGAACTGCGAAACGGGTGAGTTGGAGTACTTCTACACAGACACCGTGCGCGAAAAAAGACCCGCCTACGATGAGGAGACCGGCGAACCGATCCACGACCAGGTCATGAAGGTGCACTTCCGCAAACACACGAACTTCCATGTACCCAAGCACTATCTCCGTGGAACCATATGCGATGAGGTGGACGACGAGCTGGCCAACACAGTGAGGCATGGGGCAGCCACCGCCATTCCCAACAGGGCTCCCAAAAAGGTCACACCGGGCTACGAACGCGAGGATTACTGTCAAATGGATGGCGTGAGCAGCGTAGGTGTCCATGCCGTACTAGGAATATGGAACTCCTTACTAAATGATGGTATTTCCTTGCAGAACATAATCCTGGGCTACAACCGAAACCACTACCTGTTGTTCCTGGTGCCCACGCTCTTCTGCTACAACTTCGTCATTGGAGTCACGCTGGCCCTCATCGAGATCTTCCTGCACATGGTGTCGCACCACAAGAACAGCCTCACCATGCAGAAGGGCCTGTACTTCCGGAGTCCACTCCACGTGCTGTCCTCGCAGTTCTGCGCCACCTGCCGCACGGAATGCGACAGCAAGTACAACCGCATCTTCGACATCCTCAACAAACAGATGCGCAACGCACATCGCTCGGAGACGCTGAAGGACATGGCCAAGGCGATTGGCTAAGCTGGACGGGATTAGATTTGATATGGTCCATATATTCAACATAAAAGTTTTTGTCACACGATCAACAAAAAATAAATGCACTCGTTTATCACTCAGGTGGAGGTATTGCAGCTTCTCGGACACTACGCACGTGGTTCATCAAACCGGAATCTGACCCATTGTCTTCACATTGGGCGACACTGTGAACTTGGCTCCAGTGCTGGCGATAATGTCGTCCACGGTGTATCCCTCGGCCACCTCGATCAGCGTCAGGCCCACGCCCTTTTCCACCTTGAACACAGCCTTCTCCGAAATGATCATGTCGATCACACCCTTGCCAGTGAGCGGCAGGGAGCAGGTGTCCAGGATCTTGGGAGAACCATCGCGGGCATTGTGCTCCATGGTGATGATCACCTTGGTGCCAGGCGCAGCCACCAAATCCATGGCTCCACCCATGCCTTTGACCAGTTTGCCCTAAAAACAGTGTGTGTTTGAGTAATTAAACTTAATGGGTCACGATAGATTTACTCACAGGAATCATCCAGTTGGCCAGATCGCCTGTGGCCGACACCTCCATGGCGCCCAAGATGGTTAAATCCACGTGGCCGCCACGAATCATGGCAAAGCTGTCATCGGAGCCGAAGTAGGAGGCGCCAGGCACCACGGTAACACTCTCCTTTCCGGCGTTAATCAAGTCCGGATCCACTTTGTCCTTGGTGGGGAATGGTCCCAGGCCCAGGATTCCGTTCTCCGACTGCAGCATCACGCTCATGCCCTTGGGGATGTAGTTGGAGGAGAGCACGGGAATGCCAATGCCCAGATTGGCGTACATGCCGTCATGGAACTCTAGAGCCACTCGACGGGCAATGCGCTCACGTAGAGCTTGGGCAGGATTGGGTGGGGGTGCTGGTTTGCTGGGATCCTTGGGTTCCGTGATGCGCAAGCGTTCCACACGCTTGTTGTAGTCGGTGCCCTTGAAGATGCGGTTAATGTAGATGCCGGGCACATGGATCTCATCGGGAGAGAGGGCTCCGATGGGCACGATTTCCTCCACTTCGGCCACAGTGATCTTGGCAGCCCTGCACATGGGTGCATTGAAGTTTCTGGCCGCCTTGTTGAACACCAGATTGCCCAAGGGATCGGCCTTTTGGGCCTTGACAAAGGCAAAGTCTGCGAAGATGGACTCCTCCATCACGTAGCTCCTTCCATTGAACTCCTTCACAGGCTTCTTTTCGCTGGATATCTCCACCTTGCCATCCTTGGAGTACTTAATGGGTGCACCGCCTTCCTGCACGAGAGTGGCGTAGCCGGTGGGCGTGTAGAAGGCCGGAATGCCGGCTCCTCCAGCGCGGATCTTCTCCGCTAGGGTTCCTTGAGGCGTCAGCTCGACGGCCAGTTCTCCTTCCAGATACTGGCGCACCAGCTCCGTGTTTTCGCCCACATAGGAGCCAATCACCTTGGCCACCTGCTTCTGCTTGATCAGCACACCCAGACCAGTGTCGTCCACTCCTGGAAAGGAATTCGATTTAGTAAGAGTATTATGTTGTAACTCCATGCATACCTCCATTATTGGAAACACCCGTGATGTTCTTGACTCCCTTCTGCTTGAGGGCGTTGATCATCTTCTCCGGAATGCCGCAGATTCCGAATCCTCCGAACAGGATCTGGGCACCATCCTGCACATCGGACACAGCATCTATGGCGGACTCGTAGATCTTGCCATTCCGCTGCTTTCCGGACGTGGAGTAGCACGCAATAGCCTGCAAATGATCGGCCTATTAGCATAAAAAGCGGTTTGTCCATGGGGCGATGGTGTTCTATGGTATAAGTGAGCGTTCGTGTGGCTTGTTTGTGCACAGTCGTTACGTAAGTTAGCCTATTTTTAATTCGCTTGGATTGTTCCAGGGGGGTAATGCTATCAGTTGGGCGACTTTAGAGTGGAAGGCTCGTGTGAGATTCGTCAAAATAATACCTTATCTCAATTGGCAGCCAAACACTAAGTCAAAACAGAGTGTATAAATGGTATAGCTACAGATGGAACGTATCTATTTCTGGAAATTTTTGAATTAACACCTGTTGATATGTTGGCTGCTGGAGAACTGGTTTATCGCCTTGCAATCACATGATTAATTAAGCACTTGATATTTGAAGAGATAACCGAGATAAAGGCTAGACTATCCACTGCTGGAAGATAAACTCCAGAAAAACCGTTGTCCGGCAGGGATTTTACCTTGATGGAGGCGGAATATCGGGCGCCCAGGCTGCTGTTTCCCACCAGTCGGCAGAGCATTTTAACTTAAGTGTACTTAAAATAATAAAAGCGGTTTACAACTAGGACAAACTGCTCGCCAGATCAACACAAACCAGAATGAAATGCGAACAGCTGCAGACCGCAACAGGTACCGTTGGTCTTTCGAACCAGTTCGATAACTTCCTCAAAACAGCTGCTTGCCAAAAATGCAATATTCTTATTTGATTATTTGAATATTTCAAAAGACAAATACAAAGTAACTCAAATATTTTATGTTTAAGTAAAGTCCAGTTTTATGTTGTTTATAGTTGATTTATACATAACATTTGTGTTAAGCCCCATATGCACTACTACAAATTATAAATATATATAGTATTTCCTTCTTCTTAGTATTTTTTAAAATTCTTAAATGATTACAAATTTGTATCAGTGCAGGTCGCGTCGCCTGGTTATCGATTTATAGTGGGACCGACCACCGAACGCGTTTCGCCACCAGCTGACTGCCACAACAACAACAACAACAGAAGCAAACTCAGACGCTCACAAAAGCCAAACACAGCGAAGCGGAGTCAACAAAAACAAAGTGGTTGGAATTGCAGCAGTACTAACAAACGTAATTTCTTGAACATTTGCTGGATTGCCCTGATAAGCCATAAGCCAGCTGCTGACGTCACAGCCAGTGCCCTCACCTGAGTATTGGTGTTGAACTCGGTCCGCTGTGGGCTGGCGAGGATCTGCTCGAAGGTGTCCTTGTCCAGGAATCCGCGCCAGATGAGCTCAGGAAACCATACATCAGAATGTCGCGTTGAAATAGCAGAACATTTGCAGTTGTTTGCGGTGAGCCATGGCCAAAAATTGATGTATTTTACACATTAGTCTAGTAGCAAATCAAATACCTATATAATATATAAACGCAGCGATGAATAATTTCGGTGCTGCGCAGTTGATAAATGTGTGTAAGTGGTTGTGTCTGTGGTTCAAATGCTGAATGCGCTGTGTGTATGTAAAATGCTCAATGTGATAAGGTGGAAATGAAGATGGTCTCCTCCTCCTGATTTCCATAGTTTCGAGCTTATCTCGCATCCACTGGCCGTTACAGACACGCTCCATCGCCAGCTGTTTACCCGAATGGAGCAGCACTGCAACCAGCGCACCCACCGCTTCCACCAAACCCCCTGAGCCACCCGTCCCATCCCCGAACACTATCGTCTTACCGGCTTGGCAACCCACCGAAAGCCAGCCAACCAGATGCAATGCCACCGATCCGATCCGATGCGATCCGCTATAAATAGCAATCTCAATAGTTTTCCGCAACAACAGCCAAAGTTTCCACTCCACTCTGCACCGAATTATCAACATCACCGGCCGACTACTGCCTCTGGGCAAATAAGTAAACATGGTGGCCTCTTCAGCCCACTCCACGTCCTCTTCGTGCTGATCTCTTCACGTAATCTCACGCACAAAAGAGTTACAGTGCGGCCTCCATAGGGCGAACTTATCAGATCTATTCATGTGGGATATTTACACCTTTCACTTCAAAACTTTAACCATTAACCCCTGTAAATTGTCTTATTGTCTGTTTGAACTACACATTTTCTGGTTTGTTATCATAGCGTTTGAGTCGTTGGTGACTAGTTTTCCTGCTTTGGAAGTAAGACTGTATTTACTGACTCTGCTCCGCAATTACAGCTGGCGTTCTCCTGCGATCGACACGTTCAGTTTGGTCTCATCGCTCCAAGCGCACGCAACGTTGCCCGATGCCCGCGGAGCTGCTGACCAGCCGGAGCACACTCTACGACGTGCCTGCTGTGGGGCAACAACACTATCTGTGATTCTCCATGGCCGGGATGGAGGTGAAGGAGGAGCAGCTGCTGCTGGACACCCTGATCGGACTGTGGAGCCAGTATCTGCAGGCCTCGGAGCTCGAAGATGCGAGTGTCAAGGTTTGTGTGGTCTCCTTCGTCCATTCCATTGATATTCCCAGGTCTTATCGCTGGTTGCTTTCCTCCTCCCATGCTCTCGTGCTCACAGGACCACTGGCTCTGGCTGCTGCTGTATAACTTCCAGTTTCTGGACGATAAGAACTTGGAAGATGCCTGGCTAAATAGGTAAGATGATCGTTCAACACGTATAGTTCTACTTTTAATCACATCATCGTTTATATTTGCAGCCACTTCAATCTGATGCCCGAGGAGCTCTGCTCCTACTTGTTGGAGCAGGTCTATCAAATCATCAGCGAGGCGAAGAGATCTCAGGAAAGCAGTCCGACGCATGAGCCCGAGCAGCAGGACAAGTGCATCAAGCAGCTGCGCAAGCAGCACAATCTAGCCCAGGTTTCTATCTAAGCATATTCCACTATTCCTGATTTAGTCTACCAAGATAATACCTCTTCTTGCAGCTAATACTCAGTACTCCCAGTGATTGCAACAAGATTCTCGCACTGCGGACATTTCTCACCGATAAGTTGGGCCATCATTTACTGGCCTTTCTGCTGCGCGTGGATATAAAGGCACGTGCTTTTCTGGCATCCCAGAAATAAAATACTTGAATTTAATCAATTCCCCCTCTCCGCCCGCAGCTCATTGCATCACAGAAGAGCCTGTGCCAGTTGTGCATCAACCTGTTTCCCAACTGCAAGTGGAGTTCCTCCAACCAGGCGCTGGTTCCCATGACCAGTATTTCCCAGTTCATCGGAAGTTTCTACCTCAATTCGCAAAGCAAAAAGCTGAGACGCCAGCAGCAACAAAAAAGTCAATTACCCAATCACATATCCAATGCAATCAAATCGGGTTTTAAGGACTTCAGGGGGACAACCAGGAGCAGTGATGAACTCGCCCTGTTGCTCATCCAATTGCTCACCAGGTG